GATAGATAGATAGATAGATAGATAGATAGATAGATAGATAGATAGATTGATAGATTGATTGATTGATTATGGGTGGAGAAAGATGGATGATAGAAGAAAGAGAGCTTATGGAGAGAGGTAGATTATGGATGGATGGATGGAGACTGACTGACTGATAGATATATAATGCATAGAGATATATGGATAACAGAATAGCAGAATTAAGGGTTGGAACTTGGAAGGGACCTTGGAGGTCTTCTAGTCCAACCCTTTATTCAGGAAGGAAACCCTCTACCATTTCAGACAAATAGCTGTCCAATCTCTTCTTAAAAGCCTCCAGTGACGGAGCACCCATGATTGCCGGTGGCAAGCTGTTCCACTGGTTAATTATCCTCACTGTTAGGAAATTTCTCCCTAGTTTTAGGTTGCTTCTCTCCTTGATTCTGGATGGATGCATGGAAGCATGGATGGACAGATAGATGCCTCCATCTTCACTAGTCTTTCTCTACCATTCCTGTTTTCCCACTGCTATTTTTTTTTTGGTCTTCCTTCCACTTTGGGCCTCTCATTCCTTCTGCCTGTTTTCACACACACTCCACCAGCTGTGCCCCCTCCTTCCTTCCCTTCCACTGCTCATGCGGAAAAGCAAACATGTCAGGTGGTTTCTTTAGCTGCCTTTGAATGTCAAGTTGTTCCTTTTAATGTCTTTGATGCCACAAAGATTAGAAACAGGGCAGGGGAGTTCTCTCTCTCTCTCTCTCTCTCTCTCTCTCTCTCTCTCCCTCTCTCTCCCCCCCCCCCTCTCTCTCTCCCTCTCTCTCCCTCCCCCCCCTCTCCCCTTTGCTTGGCTGAGCAATGGAAGCCCCTCCAAGGAAGCCAAGAATGCTCCTTCTTTCACAAAAATTGGACAAAGGGCGAGGAGGGGACCCCTTGAACCGATGGATTTCCAACAGCTTGACCAGCAACAAGATCTCTCACCCCCCTGGATATCTTGTATTCTCTGCCAAGAGCATTTGAGAATGAAACCTTTTTGGTGACGGAACTTAGGTTTCATAGAACGTAGACATTCTGAACTGTTGTTGTTTGTTTTTCTAACTTTTCAACCACAGGTTAAAATCATCCCCTCCAGGTTCTCATCCACGGGGAACTTCTCTCTTTGCAACCCTCTCAACATCTGGTCTGCGTCTGCTATTTTGTTCTCCTAATGGCTTCTCTTTGGTGTTTAGATTGCAAAGGGGTTTTTTGTTTGCTTTCGTTAGGAACATTAGCCATCTGGAAGCACGCCCTGTCCTCCACCTCCCTGGCTTGGTGGGAAAGCTTTGAAGTGAAGAAATAATTGTGCGGCGCAAACAAGGAGAAGGGCTCAAACGTTAGGGTCCTGGAAATCTCATGGAGCTTTCTCCTTGGCGAGCTAGCTTGCCATCTGCAAGGACTTTGGAGAATGGGCCTGGCTAGTCTAGAGAAGAGAAGGACCAGGGGAGAGATGATAGCACTCTTCCAATAGTTGAGGGGCTGCCCCAGAGAGGAGGAGGAAGGGGTCAAGCTATTTTCTGAAGCACCGGAAGGCCAGACAAGGAATAATGGATGGGAACTGAACAAGGAGAGATTCAACCTGGAAATAAGGAGGAATTTTATGACGGGGAGAACAATCAACCCATGGAACAGAAGTTGCCTTCAGACGTTGAAGCTGAGACTTTCAAGAAGAGATTGGACTGCCATTTGTCAGAAATGGTGTAGGGTCTCCTGCTTGGGTGGGGGGTTGGGCTAGATGACCTACAAGGTCCTTTCCAACTCTGATTATCTGTTATCTGAGAAGACCATCCTCTTTTGATTATGTTTTTGCGTTTACGTACAGAAATGGTAATAGCAATAGCACTTAGACTTCTATAGCGCTTCACAGCCCTCTCTAAGCAGTTTACAGAGTCAGCCACTTGCCCCCAACAAACTGGATCCTCGTTTGACCGACCTCGGAAGGACGGAAGGCTGAGTCAACCTTGAGCCATAGGGGCCCTGGATGCTCTGTGAGCTAGGTTGTTTTCTTGCAGGTGTTTCATACCTCAACTAGGTAACATCTTCAGTACTAGGAGGGAGTGGAGTTTGTGGAGAGGAGGAGGAGGAAGAGGAGGAGGGGGCTGTAGGGTCCTTGATGCTCTCAGTTGTTTTCTTACAGATGTTTTATTACTCAAATTAGGTAACAAACTAAGTAACATCAGTGGGAAAACCCCGCTCCTTTCCATTCTCAGTTGCATATATTCTCCTTTAAAGTCTAAACAGGTAGATGACATCAGCAGTCCCCAACCTTTTTGGCACCAGAGACCTGTTTCATGGAAGAACATTTTTTTTCCATGGACTGGAGAGGGAGGAGCGTGCAACTTAGATCTCACCCACATGCTGTTTACAGTAGGGTTTGCTCACCTGCTGCCAGCTGTGCTGCCCAGTTCCTAAACAAGCCATGGACCGGTACCAGTCCACAGCCAGAGAGTCGGGGAGCCCTGGATTATGTAACTCACCAGCACCAAGGCACAATGATAATGGTGGAAAGGACGGAGGTATTTCACAGGGATGTTGTATTTCACAAGAATTTCTTTGGAGTCCTTGTCAGCTATGGCGAGAGACACATCTGGAAAGAGAAGAAAGGAGTAGACAAAGATGGTCAGGTTAGGGCACAAAAATGCCAGTGAGCCAAACTTAGCTACAAGCAGGAGAATCGTGGTCAGCTCTTTTCATTTTCTTTCCTTGAAAGCAAATGGGGCGCCAGGCGGCTGCTTTTGATCAGTGCGGTGACATTTAATCTCCCAGCCTTTCCTGCCATTTTCCCCATCTAAATATCTCCCCCAGGGGAACTATTAGGCACATGAAAGAAAAAAAGGGGGGTAAAACCCCCCTGATGCAAATTCTTTGGTCATTTTTATATTGTTTCCTCTGCTCTGGGGAGAAACCACAGCTTCCAATGGGGAGGGTGGCAGCTGACTGAGATCTGAAAAATAATGGAGTCGGGTAGATTAAGAGCCCTTGTCTAAAAGACGCTCCTCTGGTAAAAATTAGAGCAGTGTGCCTGTTTCAAAATTTAAAAGAGAACCAAATATCTATCTTTTCCTAGCTGTTGCAAAGCTGATTGGTGCTTTAATTCATTTATTTCTCATGAACCCACCACAAAATGCTTGTTAGTTACTGAGAATTCAGAACTCCACCAACATAGATAAATGATAAAGATGATAGAGAGATAAATAGATAGATAGATACATAAATACTTAGATCATAGATGGTAGAGATAGATAGATAGATAGATAGATAGATAGATAGATAGATAGATAGA